TGGGGTCGAGAGTACCTTTTTTCCCAAGTTTTTTTTTTTAATTAATAAAGAGAAATTAATCCAAAACTTAACCAAAATGATAAAGAATAATCAAAGAAAAAAACAACAATTATTTAAGATACGGATTGCACGTGGACATCAGATTTTTTTATACGTGAACATCGATCGCCCATAAAATAGCGAGTGGGGAAGGGGTGAGATCGTGAATAGCCTGTTGAGCGAAAACAATGCTGTACTTGCAATATGGGAAAACGCAAACATCGATTTTATCCGTTTCGCAAACAAAAGGAGTTAATCACCGACACCGGAAATCGCGACCAGGTATTCCTCGCGACTCTCTTAGGTTTGTTTTCCAATTTGCCCAGGCCGCTACCAATTACTTCTTGCGTAGAAACCTACGAAACTTGTGAAGTAGAACTATGGCGGCTTCGTCGGAAAAACGTAGAAGTCAGTTGAAATGTGACCGATTCTGCCCGGAAATTTTATTGTCTGGGGCTTGGACTTGTCAGGAGAGTTTCCTTGACGACAGGATTACACCCCATGTTGTGAAATCATTTATGGAGAAATCGCCCTTTTTCTTCGCTTTTTTTGTCACATTTCTACGCTTCGTGATGTTACAGTAACACGGGAGATCTAACCAGATTTATGATCGAATATGAGCTTTCTGTGGGTTCTTAATTTAATTCTTTGAAAACTAACCAGGTTTTTAAAAACGAACTGGGATGTCCACAAGCTATTCACTCTCTCACCGCTCCTCCACTCGTAATTATTTTGGCGATGTCAACATATAAAAAGAATCTGATGTCCACGTGTGATCAGTATCTTTAAAAAAATATATTTTCTTCTTTGATTATTTTTAATTATTTTGGTAAAGTTTGGTTTAAATTTCCTTTATTAATTAAAAAAGAATGGGGGAAAAAAAAGGTACTCTACATTGTACCCTCGCCTTCGACATGAAAACGACATTCGGTATGACGGATCGGCATTCATGTGAATTCCGCAGGTGTTTGTGAAGAGGGGTTGAAGATGTTGTCGAATCGAGTGACTCGTCACAGTCTCATGTTGGACCATGTTGTCATGTTCTCGTACCATGCTGCTCATTTTCACTCATGCCCACCCACACTTGCTGATCACTTTCTAAGTGTCTTGCGAGTCGACATCTGATGTGACGGGTCGTCATTTACTGTGACGAGTCGTTCGGTTCGAGTCAAAGCGTGTCGATTCGTCAACATTTTCTACTCTGTATTGTTCATAATATTCTGACAATAGACTTCCGGCCGTTTCACGATTTAAGGTGGCTCGTACCGTTTTTCATCTTTTTGATGGTTTGTAACTTTGAAAGAATACAACAGAAAGACTGACCAAGGCCAGTTGAACACTTTTACGGGGTTGAATTACATAATCATTGGTTATCCAAAAGTGTCATTTCGTCACTAGCAGTTTCCATGGCAACGCTTTCATAGGCTTATTCAGACGATTTTTTAGCTTGTGNTACACTCCCCCTCTCACCATGGATACAATCAATCTCAAACCACCTATGGTGGTCTGCTGCAACCTGCAATGGTAATGTTTTGGCTCTTCAAGAAAAATGGAAGTCACTCTTAAATCACATCTGTAATAAGCACATCTGGTCAGGAAATACTCATTTCCACCAATGCTGTCATCAACAAATTTCTCCCTCTGAAGCCAAGAAAGTCTGTTGGCTTAAGCCAAACAGTCAAGCTTTCTTAGCTTTAGAGGAAGTGGTCCTAAACACTAAATTGTTGAAGGATATTGCTAAGATTACTGACTTCTGCCACACAGGTAGATTAGAGGTATATCTCTTCATGATGCTTGAGTATTGCCCTAAACGTGAGCATTTCTCATACCAGGGCATGGTTGCTAGGACCCAGCTTGCTGCTATTGACAATAATCACAACACTGGCCGTAGACAAGCTGTAATAAAGTCTGGAGCACAGGAAGGCCTGGCACGCTACAAACTTTGCTTTCCCAAGGCAAACAAGCGATGGGTTGTAAAACCCGTAACTGAAAAGAAATCCTACGAATATTTGAGAGATTTACTCGCTCAGTTTGTTCAACGATGTGAAGCGGGAAACAGAATTGCTCAACCAATACCTGTTGTTTTACCGAGAAATACAGCCGCAGAGCCAACACCTCCGAAGGCAGACATCATTGATAACCATTGTTCAAGATTTAATAGGTAAATTAAAAACCACAAAGAATGTGTTTGTTTGGTGATTTAGCTCAAAGGGATTCTCATATATGTTCAAATTTTCTGTTTAAAAACTATATATTAAGGACATACTAGTTTACAGTTGTCAGAAGGAGCCCAGAGGTTGTTCATAGAAGTAGGAGAAACTAGATAGCTCTTCTTTAATAATCATTTCACTGATTTACCTTAGGTTATTGAATGCAAAACAATATTCGATCAAAAATCTCTATAGTTGAGAGAAGCACTTGTGTTCATCATTGGCAATTATATTTACAGAAAAATTAATGAACTAACAAATGGAGCATATCACAAACAGAGCATTGGAAGGAGTAATGCAAAAACAACTCATTTTTTATTCTGTAATCAGGCCTTTGTAGAAGGGTTCAATGGATTGTAAAATATATTATTGTACAACTATGTACATCATGTCACTGCTTTAGTTTATAAGTAAGATAAAACTTTTCATCAAATCATTCGTCAGCATATCGAAAACCTTCAAAGGCAAACTCTTCTTCTGGCCCTGGTGGAGGATAAAAGTTTTGTATACGCATAACTGCACATGATGGTAGAACTACCGTGATTTCCTTGCCCAGTATTCCACAGCACCACCGAGCCAGCTGTCTGTACGCAATATGTCGAAATAATTTATGTTCAGGGCCATCGTATGGATCTTTGTACTGATACCAGGCAGTCTGTAGGACCCACCTGTTTATGCAAACTGGATGAAAACCTGGATGCTGCGTAATGCATTTTGGTTCCTCTTGACATTCACCACTAGTTACTGCCGCAATAATTTTATTTTTCACTGCCGTTATTTCCTGACAGCAAATACAGGCCTCCACTCTTCCCATAACCTAGCAGTTCTCACACGAACACCTAGACTTTAGAAAATGCTCCGCGGTTAAAAAAAATAATAAACTGACGCTGTCTCAGGGAATAAAATTTGTGTTTAGGCTCTTGGATTACATATTTTTATTGGTATGGACAGTGTATAAAGTATTCACTTACTTATACGTAGTTTGTACAAGGAAAAATAAATGCTGGTCCGAACGGGGATTTTGGGATCCTACCGCTTAGATCTTGTCAGTACTATTACAATCTTGACCTCGAAAGCGACACTGAAAGCTTTGAATCGTACACACACTGCATGAAATGAATGGTCTACTTAGTCGTACTGCAGGGCCAAATAAAACAAAATACCAAAAAAAAGGTACACACCTGAGTTAAGTATCTTTTATTCGTTCTCTTATTGTACGAATAAACTGAAAGCAGTACATGCACATTATCGTATGAAAACATCGCAGTNCTATTCCGACTTACCTTTTCGTATTCGTAGCACTTTCTTCGTCGTTAAAACTATCGTTAATAGGGGCAGACTCGGATAAATCCATATTTCGCATGTACACTAAACAAGTCCACACCTTCGAGTCTCGCCAGGATCATATTTCTTGACGATTTGACGTCACACGAATACACGCTGACCAATTATGAGCAGGCAGTTAGCTTTCAAGATGGCGGAATTTTAATCGCGTTTTCACTCTCACTTCAGAAAACATAACTAGGTTAAAACGAACGGCTAGCAAAAAAGGTTATCAGAAATCGAAACAGAAAAAACAGGCCAATAATGCAAAGTTACTTCACAAATACCCTTGCGTTCCCCTTTAAATGTTTTTTAAGTCAGTCCCCACTCTCTCCCCCACAAATTACTGCATAATAACATTCGCTCAATCTGGGGTCACAGTCCAAGACTCGAAATATGTTGCAGTGTTAAGAAAAAATACTCATGTTGAAGCGGTATTTTTTGTTCTCGATGGAGAGTTACCTACAATCCTAGCGTAGCCATCCTTACAGATTACGTAGATCACAAATTAATTGCTGAGGATGACCGTTATATTCTTTAACAAGCAAATGCGGAGTCGAAGAAAAACCATATTTTATCAAGAAAAGTCTCATATAATGAGGTAAATAAGGATTCGTTTGAAAATAATTACAATTTTCTAGCCAAAAATTTGATTAATCAACCGCTTAAACTGCTTTCGCCAAAATTAAAAATTGTTTTAGTATTAAGGATTCACAGAACAGTTATTTTCTTCACCATTTGTACTTTTGAGAAAAAGATACTTATTTGTAAACTTGTTAAATTTCAGTCGCGTTTAGTAAATTTATGAAAGCCTTCTTGATTACACAGACCCAGACCAAAAACAGTTACGCCAACCGCGAAGAGAAATTCAAAACTCATGACGCGTCCATCTTTCGAACTTCTTGATGGGAGCGAATCAAAATTTTTCGGTATGTTGGTGTGTTGAAATTCAAACGAAGCCACCTTGCCTAATTCATAACTAAAGAGAATGTTTTGCTTTTGGCTTAAGTATCAGGTTTTAATCAGTAACTTTGATTCCTTGACACATGATGGGTGATCTAAGAGGAGAAACAGTACAACCGCGCACTAACGAACTTGTTGATGTAAACTCCGTAAGCCTACTGACGTAGATCACGGCATACCGTACAGCAACAGATACATCGTATTGGGCAATTTTCGGTAAATTGTGAAAACAAAAATGCAAAATGAATGTGACTTACTATTAGCAGGGGTGCAGATAGCTACCTTAATGAGTACTCTAGGACTTTCTGTATTATAGAAAAAAAATGGAAAGTTTAATTGAAATCCCATTGAGATCTGATCTCGCATTGTACGCGTGCAGTATAAAACAAACGAGCGTAAAAACTTAACAGATAACATACTATTTTGACTGTTCGCATCTTTTTTCGTTCCAGATCTGAAAACAACTTCAAGTCTGGTAGCTTCAGGGCAGGTTTTTAACCAAATCATATCTTGGCGGCGTTTACGATGCATGTTGCAACTCTAAGATTAGTCCTATGTCTTATGGTTTGCTCCGATGTTCAGCTAACCAGCAGCGAAAAACCCCAGACTGATTCAATAGTTCAATCGGAATTAGTGCGCAAAGCCCGTGAAATCAGGCAACATCGTCGAGTCCGTCAAGCGGGTCAACCTGGTCTCAACCAAGAAGAAACCAAATGCAGATACAAAATCGCCCTGCTAGATTTTCCTCCTTACATAATGAACCAAAGTAAACAGCAAGGATTTATGAATAATACCCTGACATGGTTTGTGGACAGTGCTTGCTTTCGTAGAAAATCAAACGATCCCATTGCTTGCATAATGGAGCCAGTATTTGTTCAAACTCAAGATGAGATGGTGAAGTTGATTAAAAATAACTCGGTTGATTTTGGATTTCCAGTTCTATCGGATGCAAGGCAAAAACTTACGGGTCTAAAAAGTGTGACGCTCATCCGGGCATTTGTATCATCCGGGTGTTCAATGATCGTGAACTTAAAGATATGCGAAGCAGAATCACAGGAACAGTTATTGACCTCCATTACGTCACAATGGCCAATACTGGCTTGTGTCATATTGCTTTCAGGGATATCTGGTGTAATTATTTGGCTCTTGGTAAGAGTAAATGCTTATCAATGTCAATCTATATAAAAATTCTAAAGCTCCTAATTTACGTAAGGTTAGATTCAAACTAAATTGTTACGGTTTTAGCATGAAAATGGTAAAAGCACTAACGAATCGAGGGCATCATTTTTTCAGTAAACGGTTGGTGAGGCATACCCTATCACTTTACCGAAATAGAGAGCCAAGAAAAACGACCTAACTGTAAATAAAGAGGAAACTGTAATGCCCAACAAGTCATGGGTCTATAAATTATGTTTATTTGTTTGTTTGTTTGTAAATGACGTGTGACAAAAACCTTTATGTTTGTGGGACCCTTGACACAAGCTACCGAAAGGATATCTAAATCCGAGTTGCCACAATTTCGGATACAGAAAAACTGCTGCAAACTTTGCGCGTTTTAGCAAGGCCTTAGGTAAGCTAGCGGTGTTTTTAAAAAAAAAAAACCATTTACTCCAAACTAAATATCACCTTTATGTTTGGTTTATATATAATGCATTAAACAGTTATACCGATTTTAATGATAGGAACACCGCTCAAACGCAGCTCACTTTTCACCCTCGTTCACGTTAGGCCCACCAGATGGCTTTTGGTGGGCAGTAGTATCACTTACAACAGTGGGGTAAGTAGATTTAGATTTGTGTATTGGTGATTTTTTCTTAGACTTCGGATCGAGTGGTCCGTGCTCAAGCCCTGGCCGGGGACATTGTGTTGTGTTATTAGGCAAGACACTTTACTCTCATAGCGCCTTTCTTCACCTAAGTGTTTAAGTGGGTAACAGCAAATTTAATGCCGGGGGGTTACCCTGCGATGGACTAGCATCCCATCCAGGGGGGGAGTAGATCTAGAAAGACTGCTAGTCACTTCATTCTACGGAAACCGGAGTTAAGCGCCGGTCTGGTGGGCCACTTGACTCTTAAACAGACTTACCATGCTAAAGGAGGGAGGCGGTCTGGACTAGTGTTAAGAATGCTGGATATGAATCAGGTTTAAGTCCTCCACCCCTCTACCCCCTAAATTTGTCTCTAGGTTGCCCCGAGTTCGACTCCTTGGCTGCGCTTTGTATAAAGCCAAATGATCAGCCTCCTGCCAATTGGGATATTCATGAATCCACTCATTTATTTATTCTTTCGTATTGACGCTGAAAAGCTCCATCGTCCGTGGAGTGATCAAATAAGCATCCATTCATAATTCATACGCTTACCACACTATCCTAAAAGTGCGGAGTTGTTTGAATCCTTGTCTTATTAGGTATGGTGATAAGACGCCTAAAACCCTCTGTGGACGTGCATTTGGTATCATGTGGATCCTGATAGGAGCGATAATGCTATCGTTGTTCACCGCCTTATTTACGAATGCAATGCAAGCTTCCTTGGATGGTACAAGATGTAGGGACATTGGTGGCAAAGACGTAAGTAACCCTAACACGCATGCCTTAAACCCTTTGCAATCTTACAGTATGCATATGCTCCATACTGTTCTTTACGAATTTCTTAAGGTGCTGATGGGGACAATTTTTTAAACAATCAAGAGCTCCTTAAGTTGGTGGTCATTTCCTTTATTCTCGTGACCTTAATGTTTGCTTCAGGAGTGATATTGTAAGGGAAAACTTGATGCTGGACTCTCGTAGGGGTTAAATGTTTCATTAATCTCCTCGTTTCAACTTAGATTCCCTACATTTTTCGAGTTGTCTCGACCAAGCCTCGAAGGGTTTTGCCCTGAAAAAACTTACATTGCAAATAAATTTCATTCTATCCTCAACGATCGAACTCAGGAACAACGAAAAATAGACCAAGGAAAATGACCTTATGAGGAGATTAAACCTTTGAGCTACAGGATCTGGTTGTCCAAGCTGGGTTCAGATAACCCAGTTTTAGTCTGAAATCTTATTTCAGATCTGAAAGCCTTAAAAGAAAATTCAGTATAATCCTTTTTGTCTACAATTACTAGATGCTCTTAAAAGAAGAAAGAAAATTGTTCATAAAATGCTTTTGAACAAAGGAATAAAGAAACCCGGATTAAATTAACCCTGGGTTAACGCTAATCGGACTTATAACAGCAGGTCCCTGGATGAATGAAATAGATGAGAATGGCCATGACTGAAAACATAAATATTTTTATGATCCCTGGAGCAGAAAGAGATTTTGAGCTTCCCGAAACCAAGTTAGCAAGTTGTATTGAAGAGTGAAATTCACGTTAAGCAATTTCAACAGATTTTCCAAATAAAAAATTGCCTAAATTCTGTTTCAAATTATGGCAAAAATTACGTTAGCAAAATTTGTGAGGCCAATCTGGCACATAAAAATTTATCGCATCTCAATTTACTTGTCAGGTGGGTGTGTCAAACAAGAATCCTGAAACACATATAGTCGCTAAGGAGCTAGATGCAGACTTTATCAGTAAGTAACTCATTTTATGTTTGTTTTAATGTCCTGGTATAGCGTGGTGCATGAGCACTTTCCTGCAGGGACGACCACGAAAGTGAAGAAATAAGCTTTGAAATACTCTCTAACTCCAAACATATTTCGCATATGCAGGT